CATACGCACGGAGTCAACAACAAAAGCCAGCCGCACATTTGTGGTTCCAGTTAGAAGACCTAGAATTCCCAGGCTACATCTAACATGACCACGTAGGCAGCTATAGCTACCTGCGTGACATCCGGGTCCAGGATATAAATACAGATAGAGATTTTATCGGGTGTGTATGATACAAATCAATAATGAAATAATTCGTGGACAAAACACTCAAAAAAGGGGGGGCAAACCGCGGACACGTGTTTCTGGGCAACATTTGTTTGCCGAAAACAGGAAACAAGTGTTGCCCATCTTTACACTTGGCTGCACCGCGCTGATGAGGCCAATAGCCAGAAACTGCTGTTGTTGTTGTCATGAAAATAGAATTAATGATTAATAAGTTTTTAACACTGTAATCATATTCATAATAGTTCAACCCATCCTCTATCGGACTTTTTACATTGGTCAGCGATATATGCATTTCCGTTTCGATTTTTATTTCAATTTTCACACCCCGCTCCATTTGACATCCAATGAAGCGGTAGTTTTAGTTTTCAAGTAATTTTTCTGTAAATTGACATCCACGTACCGTTCTCCCACATTGCATATCTTCTATGTTAATGATAATAACCCACTGCTCGAGCATCTATCTTTATTATACCTGTGTGTGAATTATATGAGTTTAAACTTTATTAACGGTTCTTGCGCTGAGCACGCCCATTTCTAAGCTGTGTTCTCGAATACCATCACTCCGGCAATGCCCTCTACTCCCACATCGAATATTCATTTCTCGTTTGTCTACATGCGCCCATCGAAGATTGCTGGCTCCATTGTAAATCATAAAATGTTTTGAAAGTTCCTAATTCTTTAGTTTTGTAATTACCAAATACTATACTGTACTACAATAAAATAAAAACCAAAGTATTCTTAAAATGTCTCAGCTTAAAAACTCTTGTAAGCTTTAATACGGTCGATAATATACACATCTAAAACAGAACATTCCAAGTCTATGAACTGACCATTGTGGTTGATATCTTCAATATATTTCATATATTTTGATAGGTGATCACACCGCCAATGCAAGACCTTTCTGCGCCTTGGCGAGTTTGAAAAATCTGCGTCCTCTAATACTGGAATGTCTGAATTCTATTTTTAAATTCTTGTTGAATTGTTTTATTATGAAAACGGTTCATCATTCCGGATTTTACGTTAACTTGACTCATCGATCATCACTCTACAGTAGAGAAAGGTAAATCGACGTTGCAAGCTAGATTTTCACGTACATGATTACTTACTTGTGATGCACTGTTTGGAAATTAGGATTAGTTAGATAAGTTAACAAAAACAGGCATCTAGAAATAAGTAAACATGATAATATTATGAATAACGATGGTGGACCAATACCTAATAGTATACTATATAGTTTGTTGAAATAATACTTTAATTATCAGATTTACCTGAGTATTACATAAGGACACATTGTACGAGACACACGAGAATGTCTCTGATTTACAAATTTTTCATGAACATTTTTTGAGACATCGATGTTTGAAAAGGGATCAGTAAAATAGAAATATTTCAAAGAAAAAATTTTGCACATTATCCATATTGCTACAGCGGTATTTTTGAATCCAGAATCAATTATATATTATCGATTCGATTCGAAATGCTTGTAAATTATTTTGTTTCGAATTTATACGAAAGGTCTAAAAGGCAATTATTATGAAAAACAAAACTTTGGATAATCGATATATAACAGGTTTTATTTATATATGAATGTAGGCTTTCAGGGCTTGCGTCAATGTTTTGGTTGGTTTCCGGGCTTTGCCGTGATCTTTTTTGGAGATTTATAACCAAAGAATACGGCAAAACCCGGAAACCAACCAAAACAGGTTATATTCATAATATAATCAAAATTTTACTGAAAACGTCTCCAAATCACCTACTAACTTTATATTTTCTACTCAGGTTCGATTTAGTTGAGGTAAAATGACTTCAAACATCGCATTCATGGCCCGACTTAGTACCACTGATGATATTTAAGGCAGATCGAAACTTTGTTATCTGATATTGAATCATGAATACGATGTTTTTGGGCTCTGGTATCATTTAGATATTTGCTCATTGAATATTTTTTACTGGCACTTCATTGATTTATATCCAACAGTTAGGTATATCTCGAGTGGAACAAGTTAATATGTGTGCAAGTCCACATTCGAGCTAATTTTATTTTAAATTATACACGAGAGCGTTTGCTTGATCAAAATTTCGAAAACTATGGGATTGCACGTAATTTGATCGGTTGAACTTGGTCTTANTGAATTTGTAATTTTTCTTTTTTTTTGTATATTAGGCTTGCCTACTTAATAAAATAAATACAATTATTATCCGAACATTCAAGACATTTCTTGTTTTTACAATAGAATTTTTATACTTGCCTATAATACAATATGTTCGTGTATTTCATACTTAGTGTGAAATGTTTTAACTCTCAAAATCAACTGTAAGGTGTATATCAATTTCCTGGTTCGGTGAATTCTCATTCAAATTGAATGAACAATTTATTGAGAAGTACATGGCAACATTTTGGTTGGGAAAAAACAAATTGAAATTGTTTTTATGACATTTGAGGCAGGCTGAAATCTTTGTTCTTGACGAAGTTCTGAAATGAAAGTTTTTAAAAACTACTTCAACTGTCTCTTTAATCGTATATCGCTAAGCACGTAGGTTGGTGGTTTATCTGTTGCTTGTAGACGATACCATCAGTAATAGCATTATTATTCAATTAAATACTGGTCCGCAGTGACCTTTACCGCCTTCTGCTCAATTACAATTTAGAAGATTCATCAGTGAATTTGAAATCCATTTCGAATTTTAAAATGTTTACTGCCTACTGAGATGAGATAGAAAGTTGAAAATTGATGGTCAACTTCCGTTTGAGAAGATAATTTGTCAATATCTGGTATGAATACGTAGTATTTTTCATTTGCATTTTGTTGATATACCATTTTCCCAAGGTGGAAAAAAATGTATACTTCTTGTACGTGCTTCGTTTGAAATTGCGAAATACATTTTTGTAATAAGAATTCCCCTTACGAGTGAATTGATTTCGTAAATAAAAAATTAATGGAATATATGTTTTAGATCCAACATCCGGCAGGTTTTCATTTTATAATTGATGAATTTTATGTATTTTTCTCGCAAATAAAAAATGCCTGTGTATATACCACCGATTACTGACCGCCCTTGTAATCACAGTACCTACATGTGACCCCAGTTTTAATGGCCAGTTCGTACCAATATATGTGGGTTAATCATACTCTGTCCAATTCAACTCTTGTGTTTCAACATTGTAATTATGCCTGCCGTCTCTTTTATGAGAGCAGATATTTGTTATGTTGATTAAATGAAGTGCAACCTCGTTAAATGGAAAGAAAGTAGCGGAACCCTGTAATTTTCTTGAATAAAATGAAATGTCCCAAATTGATTGAAACTTGTTTCACCCTCGACAAATGATCCAAACAAAGATGTGGTTCTGATGGTAGACTGGCAATTTTATTTACGGTAAAATAACCCAAGAATTTATATCATGTGGATATTTCTCTTACTTTGGTGGAATAACCATACCTAAATGAATTTAAGGTAATGAATCATAAAACTTGCGTTTCTTTGAAACTGTTCCGAAATATATACATCGTGTTGTTTGACTGATGTTTTTGCCCTACTGACCAGAGTTCAGAATTTGCCATTTAGTTGAGGTCTCAAATTATTTATTCCTTGTGCATGATTGCATATTCTTCCACCTGAAAGACGGGGATGTGTATTGATCGATGTGTATATCAATCTCGCTCTGAATCAAAACTTGAACTTATAAACCTACAGTTGAGTATGAATGCATATGTTGACTAAATTGAAATGAAGGTTGCAGAAAAAGTTACAGATTGAATAAATAACAAGGTATCCAAATTTTCAAAACTCACCATTATATAAGGCAGTAATTGTAGTAAATTTTGATTGTTGCAGTACAATTATGTTTTTTTAAATTGTGAGCAATGTAATATCTTACAAAAATTACAAAATAAAGCTAGGGGGCAATACTGAATTATGAGGAACGTACACCAAATTTTGAATACTTTAATATTGATGTTAGTAAGACAGATAACGTAATAACATACTCGAAATAAAAGTGTTACCAACTTATCTCTCAGATCAATTAACATGTATTAACAATATACATGACCACCATGGTACTCGTAGAAGATTCTAAAATGATTTTTACGTAAACTTCAATTTGAAAATTTCAACATTATTTAGTAGGTAAAGGATTGATTATATTCAACAGTTTACCTTCGGAATTAAAGCAAATAAAGTGGTGGATATATTTAAAAATGAGGGCTAAATACGTTTATCTACAAAATTGAAATATATAATGTAACATTATTTACCCCTAGGAATCTATATGTAACATTTTAAAATGATTATAACTTATAGTTACTCAATGTTATTTAAGAGAGATATATTCAAATGAATCAACAGGATGTTCTAGTACCCTAATGTAAATTTTGTGCCGATATGTCTGTCGAAATATGTTTTTCCGTTTGCTTGCCGATAGTCCCCTACGAACTTTAACCCTCAAAAGTCGAAACATGTGCGGGGCAAGGATTAACGAGATCTTATAGTTTAACATGCGATTTTCTGCGATATAGGTTGAACTGATAGGTAGTGAAAATCCATTGTCAGGCCCCTGGGCTCAAACACCGTTTCGCCTAACGGTCGATTGAATAAGTGAAACAAACCATTTTTCGACAACCCAACCGGATACCGTGCCATATATATAATCTCGGAGCCTGGGCTATTGCTTCAAAGGCCATATTACCGAATGCACCCTCAATATCCTAAAAATCAGCTGAAAGTACTTTCTTGTTCTAGTAGGCATATTCTGCTTTTTCATATGAACTTTTGTAATAAATAATTTTTTTTAATGTTGAAAAATGTGTTTAAAGCAATGATGTTATATATTACAGGCTTCACTGGCACTCAATGTGAAATTGACATCGACGAATGCAAAGATAAACCATGCTTGAACGGAGGTATCTGTCACGACCTTATCAATTCCTTCAAATGTTCCTGCGCCACGGGTTTCACCGGATCAAGATGCCAAATAAACATAGACGACTGCCTATCGAATCCTTGCCGGAACGGAGGCGTCTGCCACGATTCCATAGCCGCGTATACCTGTGAATGTCCTCCCGGATTCAACGGATTATCCTGCGAAACGAACATCAATGACTGCCTTTCTTCGCCTTGCTTGCACGGAGAGTGCATCGATGGGGAAAATTCTTTCACTTGCACATGTCATCCCGGATATTCCGGTAACCTTTGTCAACATCAAATCAACGAGTGTGAGTCTAATCCTTGTCAATATGGTGGTACGTGTCAAGATTTGGTCAATGGATACCAGTGCCTCTGCAAACCTGGCACTTCGGGACCTAACTGTGAAATCAACGTCAACGAATGCCATAGCAACCCTTGTAGGAACAGCGCCAGATGCGTGGATGGCATTAACAGGTACTTTTAGAGAATAACCCAGTTTTAAATGAGGAAATAATTTGCTCTAAATTTTTTTCATGCACTCAGTGGTTACCCATATTATGATCCGTAAGTTATATGTTGATGTTTGTTTGTCTTTTGTTTGTGGATGTTACTATTGTGCATGAAATCTGGGCATCTGGTTGTCCTCAAAAACAAAAGCATTATAGGCATGTAGTGATTCAGTTCAGGGAAATGAAACTAATTGATTTTTTATTTCAGTTATGTTTGCGAATGCATACCTGGATATACTGGAAGGCATTGTGAGAATGACATAGATGAATGTTCATCAAATCCATGTGCAAATGGAGGGGTGTGCATTGATCTGGTTAACGGATTTAGATGTGAATGTCCCAGAGGATATTTCGATGCACGCTGCCTGAGCGACGTTGATGAATGTAAATCTAATCCCTGTAAACACGGAGGTAGTTGCGAAGACGGAGTCAATCAATTTATTTGCCATTGCTTGCCTGGGTATGGAGGAAAGCAGTGCGAGATCAATATTGATGAATGCGCCTCAAATCCTTGCCAACATGGTGGTAACTGTCGGGATCATCTTGCTTCCTATACTTGCGAATGCATTCCTGGTTATTCAGGAATCAATTGCGAATACAACATCGACGATTGTGCTATGAATCCTTGCAAAAATGGTGGCAGCTGCATTGACCTGGTGAATGATTTCAAATGTGTTTGTGAAGTACCTTTCACTGGAAGGGAATGTCAAGAGAGATTAGATCCTTGTCAACCAAATTTGTGTCAACACAACGCCAAATGCACACCAAGTTCGAATTTCATGGACTTTGCCTGCACCTGCAGTGTAGGATATACCGGGAGATTCTGCGAACAAGATGTTGACGAATGTGTTGTTTCGAAACCTTGCAGAAATGGCGCTACTTGTAGAAACACCAATGGATCCTACATGTGTATTTGTATGAGGGGTTATCAAGGAAAAGACTGTGCCACCAACACTGATGACTGTGCTTCATGTAAGTAACATGTTCTCACTAGCGTTTGAACTGTGACCCTATTGTTCATTTTCTTCAGCTCCCTGCCAGAATGGAGGAACCTGTTTGGACGAGATAGGACAGTTTTTGTGCCTTTGCGTTAATGGATTTGAAGGAAGGCAATGCGAAATAGATATAGATGAATGTTTTTCAAACCCTTGTCAAAATGGAGCAACATGTAACCAATATGTCAACTCATACACTTGTACCTGTCCTCTAGGATTCTCCGGTATAAACTGTCAGACGAATGATGAAGACTGCACTGAAAGTAGCTGTATGTATGGAGGAACTTGTATCGATGGTATCAACTCATATATTTGCACATGCAAGCCTGGGTAAGTACTGTGTTCATTATTACTCTTCATCAATTTGTTATCAATTATTTGCTTTACAGCTACACTGGTTCTAATTGTCAAAACAGAATCAACCTATGTGACAGTTCTCCGTGCTTGAATGGCGCTACTTGTCAGGACCATACATCACATTATACCTGTCACTGTCCTTTCGGCTACACTGGAAAGAACTGTGGTGAATATGTCGATTGGTGTGCAACAAATCCTTGTGAGAACCACTCTACTTGTCAACAAGTCAAAAATCAATATTCTTGTGTATGTGGACCTGGCTGGACTGGAAAAGTATGTGATGTTGAAATGGTTAGTTGCAAAGATGCTGCAACAAAAAAAGGTAATACGATTATAAGCATTTAGTTCTTCGAGGTATTTAATTCATTTTTTAGGTGTTCCGTGGAAATTACTGTGCAATAATGGAACTTGTGAAACAATTGGAAATTCACATAGATGTCACTGCAAGGAGGGATATACTGGGTCATACTGCCAAAAAGAAATAAATGAATGTGAATCAGCTCCATGTCAGAATGGTGCGACCTGTAAGGATTTGATAGGTTCCTACAGTTGTATATGTCCTAAAGGATTCCAAGGCCAAAATTGTGAACTGAATGTTGATGATTGCCAACCTAATCCTTGCCAGAATGGTGGTACTTGTCATGACTTGGTTGACAGCTTTCTGTGTTCTTGTCCACCTGGAACTTTGGGTTACATCTGTGAAATAAATATAGATGATTGCCGACTCGAATCTTGTCACAACAATGGAACATGTATAGATCGAGTGAGAGGATTTGATTGCAAATGTCCGCCTGGATTTGTTGGACCGCGATGTGAAGGGGATATTAATGAATGTTTATCAAATCCTTGTTCCAATCCGGGAACATTAGACTGTGTTCAACTGGTGAACGACTATCAGTGCAACTGTCGACCTGGTTATATAGGACACCATTGCGAGCGCAAAGTAGATATATGCGCGGGTAACCCTTGTGTTAATGGAGGAGTATGTATTCCTACTCATTCAGGTCATAAATGCACATGTCCAGACGGTTTCTATGGTACCAGATGCGAGTTTAGTGGATACGATTGTGATTCAGATCCTTGCAAGAATGGTGGAATTTGCCGAATATCAGACGGAGGTGGTTATGTTTGCGATTGCCCACCTGAGACTACAGGCATAAATTGTGAGGTAGATCTGATAAACGAATGCGATAGCAATCCCTGTTTACATCCTGATGCAGTTTGCCAGAATAAATTAGGTGACTACATTTGCTACTGTCCAGCTAGACACATTGGTAAAAATTGCGAGATTTATGATCGTACCGCTCCAGCAGGAATCGGAAAACCCATCAGGCCATCTCAAGACTTCAAAAGCTTTTACGAAAAAGATCTAGAAAAACAGCGTCAGCAGTGCCTGATGAACAAATGCCCAATGAAAAGAGGAGACATGGTGTGTGATGAAGAGTGTAACACTTATGCTTGTGATTTCGATGGTCAAGATTGTTCACTAGGAATCAATCCTTATGCGAACTGTACAGCTCCTACTAAATGTTGGCAGGTGTTTGGAGACGGCAAATGCAATGAGGACTGTAATAATGCCCAGTGCCTTTTTGATGGAAGAGATTGCGAAAAGAAACTTCAAGCCTGTAATCCAATCTATGATGCTTACTGTCAAAAACATTATGCAAATGGATATTGCGATTATGGTTGTAATAATGCCGAATGTAATTGGGATGGTTTGGATTGTGAAAACGAACCGCCAAATTTAGCAGATGGTGTTATATCCATGATTATTTTAATGGATATGGAAGGCTTCAAGAAAAACCTGGTTGCTTTTTTAAGAGATACTAGTCATCAGCTGAGAACTATATTGGTGGTAAAGAAAGACCAGCTAGGAAATGACATGATTTATCCTTGGATGGGCACTGCACCAACAAACAGCCTACAGGACTACAATTTCAAGCAGAAACACCATATAGTTTATTCGGAGCAAACCCAAACAGGTGTTAAAGTATACCTTGAAATTGATAACAGAAAATGTTCGACAATAAACGAAAACCTGGAAAACTGTTTCCAAACAGCTAGTGCTGCTGCTGAATTTTTGGCAGCTAAGGCATCGAAACATACTCTGTCATCAACTTTTCCCATCTATCAGGTGAATGGTTCAAATGGATTAGATGAAGATGAAAATCCACCGGCCAATGCGAAATATGTTTTGATAGGTGTTTTGTTGGTAATTGTTTTGTGCTCGGTCGTGTTTTTGATCGTACAGACTCAAAGAAAACGAGCGGCTGGTATAACTTGGTTTCCTGAAGGATTTTTAAGAACCAACTCTGGAACCAGAAGAAGATCTCGTAGGCGCGGTCCAGAAGGTCAGGAACTCCGAAATCTTAGTAAAAACCCATCGATACCTGGAATGGAAGTCGATCCCAACAGTCATCATGGTCACATTCCCCAATGGTCAGATGATGAAAGCGATATGCCACAGCCTAAACGTTTCAGAGGCAACGACTTGGGATATTCCAGTGATCACACGGTTATCACAGAATACGAAGAAGCTGCCGAGCCTCGTTGGACACAGCAACATCTCGATGCCGCTGATATAAGGCCTGTTGCTATGCTGACGCCACCTCAAGGAAATGAACATGTAGACATAAATGCAAGAGGACCTTGCGGAATGACTCCCATCATGGTTGCGGCGGTTAGAGGCGGCGGAATGGATACCGGCATCGACGAAGACGAGGACGATGGAGCAGGAGCTATTATACAAGACTTGGTGGCACAAGGGGCAGAGCTGAACGCTACCATGGACAAGACAGGGGAGACATCTCTTCATCTAGCGGCCAGGTAATAATTACTTCTTATTTTGGAATTAACTGTTAGGTCTCAAATTATTTGTTGAAAAAGTATACAGACAGACTGATTTTAGTCATTGTAGCATAGGTCCGATTTTTTTTGGAAAAAAATTGAATTAGATTCCTTACATCCAAATATATCCCACATCTATGATTTTTCGGTTATTATTTGTTGTTTACATGTTGAGTCAAATAGGCTTTTTGTTCAATGTTTTTGGTAGATTTTCAGGAATTTTCTGTGACTCAAGATTCATAAATAATATTCCACACAAAAAAGTTTAGTGTTCAACTAAAGATAATTAAGATACGAAATACCTCACATCAACCAAAAAAATTCAGAATTGAAAATTTTGTGTCAACATGGTAACATTTAGTTATTTTTTAGTATGTTTTTAGGGTTTAAATTAAACAATGATTACAAATTTAATGTTGTGGTCGATTATTAGTTATTATGAGTTCAATTCAAATAGAAATGTATTATTATTTAGTATCTTGTTTTGGTTTAAAAGAAAATATGATATGTGTTAGTTTTTCTATCATGGTGTTCCACTGAAACCATGCCATTCCCAAACACTGGATAGAAATGAATAAGATTATTTTTCAATAAAATAGACCCTTTTCAATAACTCTTGTTTATGAACACTTGTGTAAGGTGTACAACTTACTCACTTAACTTTACAACTTACTCACTTACTGTACAACTCAATATATTTTACATTATGACTAGTGATATTTTCTATCTCAAACTTTGAATATTTGTAGGTACTCTATTACAAAACTTCATCAATGTATGAACATAAAAAATTGAATTTTCTGCATATCTGATACTGCATTTATTGTAAAAGAGATGTGTATTTATGTCATGAGGCATTAATAGGCAGACAATATAATTTGTTATCTTCCTTGTTTTTAGTATGAAAGAATACTGAAACTTCCACATATAATTACAGTACAATTACTTTCCAGATATGCCAGAGCAGATGCCGCAAAGAGGCTTCTAGATGCAGGAGCAGATGCTAATGCTCAAGACAACACTGGAAGGACACCTCTTCACGCAGCTGTTGCTGCTGATGCTCTTGGAGTATTCCAGATTTTGTTAAGGAACAGAGCCACCAATCTCAATGCTAGAATGCACGAGGGCACTACACCCTTGATTCTTGCAGCACGTCTAGCTATTGAAGGAATGGTACAGGATCTCATAAGTGCCGAAGCTGATATCAATGCTGCAGATAACTCAGGAAAAACCGCTCTCCATTGGGCTGCAGCCGTTAACAATGTAGAAGCTGTTAATATTTTATTATCTAATGGAGCGAACAGAGATGCTCAAGATGATAAGGTGGGTGAAATTGTTTTTTATTACTTGGTTTGTGTATAATATGTAATGTTTTTTAGGATGAAACACCACTGTTCCTAGCTGCTCGTGAAGGTTCATATCAGGCTTGTAAGGCTTTACTGGAAGCTTATGCAAACAGAGAAATCACTGACCACATGGATAGACTACCCCGAGATGTCGCAAGTGAAAGACTGCACCATGATATTGTGCGACTGTTAGACGAACATGTCCCCAGGAGTCCACAAATGGTCAACGTCATTCCCAATAATAATATGATGAGTAAGTCAACTAATGGATATTTGTTTACAAAATTAATACAAATTTTACAATTTCAGCATCGCCTACTGGTCACATGTTGCAACAACCAACAGTTATTGTTCCTAAGAGGCAGAAATCCAAGAGGCCTAGTAAAAATAGCAGTCCTACAAGTCCAGAAGGTGATGCAATACCTAATCCCGGAAGTATACGTCGGAAAGCCAGTGTTAAAAAGAACAACAATAATAATAACAAGAAGACTTCTCAACACAATGAAGTTCCCCAAAGTGTAGATTCTATAACTTCCACTCTCAGTCCAGTTGAGTCTCCCATGACAAATCTGCCCAGTCCATATGATGCGACATCACTGTACACTAACATGAGTTTACAAAGTCTCATGGGTAACAAACAACCTCCTCCCTACGAAGATGCTATGAAAAACCCGCAAAATAATCATGCTTTCACTTTGGACAATAATTATAGTGCCTTTAATATATTTCCAGACCCAGTGTTGATGCAACAACGGCAAATGCAAGCTAATACACTCAGTCCCCCATATTCCAACCAGTCTCCCCCTCATTCGGTTCAATCAAACATGTCTCTGTCTCCCCAGGGGTATAACGGTTCGCCATCTCCGGCAAAAAACCGACCTTCCCTTCCCACCAGTCCTACACATATTGCTGCTATGAGAGCAGCAACACAACAAAAACACGGCGGCGTTCCTCAAACACAAATTCTCCAGATGGGCTTTGACTTCAGTCAGACAGGACTTGATCTTCCCATGACCTATTCTGGTTTAACGAGTACCACTCCAGCGTCGTTGCACCCCCAACAATTTCAACATCAGAACTATTATTTAACACCCCCTTCTCAACATACCGACCATTTACTACCCGATAATTTTCCCACTCCTAGCCCAGAGAGTCCTGGACATTGGTCATCAAGTTCACCGCGGTCATGCAACTCGGATTGGTCGGAAAACATAGCCAGTCCGAATACTTATGTGTCCTCAGGACATCAGACCAACAAAGGCTCCGATGCTATATATATTTAAGTGTTGGACACGAGTTGTGATCTTGTTATATCTCGATTGAGATGTTTTGCACAAAATGACAGGCCGCACTCAAATAATGTGAAACCTTTTGGGAAGTTTTTTTTATTCTCACAATTTCATGGTATTGCACACAATTTTTCAAAATCTCAAATATTTTATATTCAATTCAAATTTCATAACATAATTGAAAGTAAATTGCTTTAATACCAAAATACATTCCATATTTCATGTTCGTGTTCAGCATGTGAGATAAAATAAACAAAATTTTCTAATGGATTTTAGCAAGACAGGTTATTCATGAATATTTTGGAAATAAGTTAAATGTTGTTGCAGTTAATGTATTGAAAACTCAGGGTGATTCAAAAGGAAAGAAGTGTGATCCTAATTTTTTTATAGTATGCACAGTTCAAAACTATTTTCTAACTGCCAGAAATAATTAAAGAATAATACCTACTCGTAAATATGGCATTTGAACTATTATTTTGAACAAAATTCATTGTGTTCAATACTAGTGACAGAATTTCAAAAGTGAATATCGCACAACTACAAAGTAAAACACACTATTGCCAGTAATTAGTATGTGTCAAAACCATATTCTGATAAGTTTTTTTTATCAACATTTTTATATATTATTTATTTTTCATAATTTCTGAGTTTTAACTGTATATTTCAGTTACTAAAATTCCTGGTTCATGACAACTCCGGAGTTTTGAATCAATATCCTGTCCTATTCTTTTATGCAATTTTATGTTTCTGTATGTTACAATGATAGGAAGTTATCAATCGTTATCCCAAAATGTTGATTTCAGTTTCTCAATTTTTTGTTCAAAATTGGTATTTTAATTTCTGTATTTAGAAGAAGAATATACCTGTCAATATAATCTTCATTATATAAAAATTAAAAAGTTTTGCATCGATTGAGTGCGGCACAATGTAATAAGTGGTCTCATTTTTAGTAAGTGCCTATCGATTGAAGGCTAATGTACTAAGTTACAGTACTGCCAACATCCATTTGGACCAATCAAATATCCAAAAATCTTACTCTTGTGCCTTGATATGCCTTGTTATTTTGAATGTGTTTGTAATATTATATAGAATACATAAATTCATTTTGTACATATCTTAGTATATTATTGTTAGATTAGTGTTACATTGATCCAACAAGTATTTCACTATTTAAATTTATATGTTTGCAAAGAAACATTTTATTTATTATATTTCTTCAACAAATGAGTATATTTTCCTTCTTTCTGAAATCCTTGTAATATCTGTTATTGATAAATGCAAACATATGAATTTTCTTCTTGGTATTAATTTAATTACTCAAAATTCATGACATTTTTTTGTAATTTTACTGGTAGATTAGTTCAGTCTCTCTATTTTTCCTTGTATTTTTGTGCAGAAATTTAAAATTCGTAAGGTTTTATTTTACGAGTCTGTGATTCAAATGTAATTATAACAACAATTTGACAATATCGTATGACGTTAGTGATATTAAGAATAAATTAAAATCATATTTTTGATAATTTTTATATAAAAAACGCACATTCCACCTTTTGGATTGAAAAAATGTCTTTTAATTGTTATACAGTTCATATAGACAAACGTATGCAGTAGAAACGTGATTTAGGAGTTAATATATCTTTCATCTTGAAGAATCTCAGAAATAAAGATACTAACGCCGTAATTGCTGTTCTATAATGTATGTTACACTTTGTGTATATTAAAAAATCAGTTGGTAGTAGATCATATATTTATAATTATATATTCCTATTGAAATCAGCTGATTTTTATTGTAAAAAGTACTGATTAGATATTTTATGGTAATGATCATGATTTTGATAATTAGTTTTTGTTTTAGCAAATGCTGCTATCCAGTTATCAGCAGTTGCTTTTTCATCTTTTATTTTAGTTTAAGAAACTAAATACTATAATAAAACCTTTAAAGCATTTGTCATTACTTTACCATGAACGGAAGAGTTGAATTTGACTTCTTGAATTATAAAGCTCTTCCAAAGTATAGTAATAATAACAATTCCAATAAACATAAGTTGTTTATACTTGGGAAAAAAATATAGAAAATAATGAAAACGTTCAACTGATTCGCTTAAATAAAAATGTATGAAATATTGGTGATGATATAATAATTTATGACTAAATATATTTTGCAAGATGTTTTTTGAACTTTATTTTGAAGACATTTTTCAAAGAATTTGTTAGATTATTATATGCTTCAAAACCACTCCAATTAATCGATTGCTAATCAATACTTGAATATATTTTTTGAATGCCTTGTTGAATTCCTTGTTGAAGGCTATAATGTGTGATTTTTCAAACAATTTCATCTCCAGATAACAAAAATTATTATATTGATCATAAAAATATCTACAGCATGGAAAAATTGCAAATTTGAAGAAAATTTAAGGTTGGGATGTGATCAACTGTGTTAACTTCAATTGTAAAGAGTATAATATATGAGCTTACATGAAAATATTTAGAAAACATCAGAAAGCGGTCTAAAAGTGCTCAAAGAGGGTCTAGGAACCGTTAAAAGCATATGGAAATCTTTAAAAAACCTATGAAAAACGTAAGACAAAATACGTCTTTATATGGCAGTTGGTTAATTAGCGTAAGTGGCTTTTTCTATGTGAATGGTGGTTTGAGCTCGACAGACGGATGATCCATATCTGAGTTTCACAATTGAAAATTGAATCTTGATGCAAATTTTTCACAAAATGGGCGCTTTGTTGTTAATAATGTCATAATTTTCAGGTATAGGATATTAGTAATGTCATGTTCAAAGCTTACTGCAATGACAGGAGTGGCATTATGATTGAAAAGATTTCTATTTCATAAATGCACATTGAATGAATTTTACACAATGATACAACGTGTGACTATTTTAAATTGAGAATATTACGGAGATGTATCTATGTCTAATGAATAATTGTAAATTATACTTAGATTTTCAATCTGTTTTTTTGTTCATATTATTAGGATTTTTGTTGATTAGGACCATTTCTTGAAAAAGCCTTTAGACATATTTTTTTCTGAATATAAAACTTTTGCTTGATCAAATTTCATTTCGTGTCAGGTTTCAATAAAATTTTGAGCTAGTGCACATGAATTTTCGGTTAATCTTATATCACTTTTGTGTGAAATTATTCTGTTTGATAATGTTCTGGAAGTTTTAACATTGTAATTTAAATCACAATTATTACATGTTATATTGTAAACAACGTTTGATTTTTTTCAAATCAGCTGTAGAATCTTTCAACTGTGTTTTATATTTCCAATAACTTCAATATTCTTTCTAGAAATGTTGATGTCGTTTTCATTGTGAAAAACTTTTATTATATCGAAAGATAATTTTCCAATATTAGAAAAAGAAAAATATTTCATTATGTCTTCTATTTGACTATGAGTCAATTAGAATGAGTTAGGAATTGGTTTTTTCATCTCCTGAAGACGCCATCTTAGTTGCTGACACGCGCGTCGAGAAGAGTATTACATTTCTGGTGATTGGGAAATTTTCCCGTATTTCGGAGCATCAACCTTTGTTCCTTCACAGTCTAAATTGCATATTCCTCTAAAAATATTATATTTTACGTCATTTGAAGTCTAAAACTTGAAACTATTGTTCAAACCAATGTCCCACTACCTGACTGGAGTATGTCAGCTTATGGTTATGCGCCAGGTTTCTGTTACTACAAGAATATTTATCTTCATTAATGATAATCTTCCGTTCATATTCAAAATAACCAGTTTGTCATATGTTGCTGGTTTTTTGTTGTCTTGATGTCGAATAATCATTAACTTTGAATTTTTATTATCCGTAATTGATTCGAAAATGTACTTTTCTTTGATGTAAACCACAAACTAGTTAATTTTGCTAGTAGCTGAAAAATTGATGCAGTGGTTTGAATTGAATTTCTGATTGGAGTTAACACAATTTGGGAAACCTTTTTGACATCAAACACAGGTGAATTCTGCTCTGAAATAAATAGTTTTCCATCATTTTCCTGTAATATTTTTCTAAATAAACTTAGCAAATAATGTGTATGAATTTTGTCGAGGAACATGCTAATAAAATTTGCCTTTTTAATGTCATCTTCATTTATGAAATGATTTTGTTGTGATAACAATATCTGCAGGTTTTCTATTTGTGGTTGTTTTCACAATTTTTTTTTTTGGATTGGAAAGTTTTTTTTCTCCAATCGAGTAATTGTTTTCTTTTCAAATTCACGAAATCACTCCTGTCCTAAACTTAGCAAATAATGTGTATGAATTTTGTCGAGGAACATGCTAATAAAATTTGCCTTTTAAATGTCATCTTCATTTATGAAATGATTTTGTTGTGATAACAATATCTGCAGGTTTTCTGTTTGTGGTTGTTTTCACAATTTTTATTTTTGGATTGGAAAGTTTTTTTCTCCAATCGAGTAATTGTTTTCTTTTCAAATTCACGAAATCACTCCTGTCCTTATATTTCACTACGAAACCTCCAATTCCTCTGTTTTTTTTAAATTCTGGTAACAGAAATTTTGAGTTAACCAAGATCAATAACTTTATTTGAATCTTGTTTTGTTTCAATATATGATGGAATTGCAGATACTTATGAAAATCCATAACTTATTCAAGAAACACTTCATTACGAGATTTTCACTAAACATTTTTATAAAAACGCAACACGTGTTTCGCTATAGAATAGCTTCTACAGGCACAGGCGTGTCAGTAAAAACCTGCCTGAAGAAGCTATTGTATAGCGAAAAAAAAATCTGTTTAAAATATGTTTTTCCGTTAACCAGCTGTCGCACCCCTACGAACGACAACCCTCAGAAGTCAAAACTTGGATTAACGTGGTCTTACCTTTTTAACGTGTGATTCCTAACACGGGTTGGACGATAGCAAGTGAAAATCGATCGTTCAAATTAGGGCTTGGACCACCGACCAACACGGCAGTCAATTTTAGTGAGTGAACAAAGCACCCACGTCGAACCGCCTGGCTATAAAAACACGAGTTGTGTTTTTGAAAAATTGTTTTATTTCATTTGTATTTTGTTTGGGTTATTAATTATCAATTGGGAATATGACTCGAGTCTTTTTTCTTGTGATCCTGCAACTTGTGAATTAATGGAGCTAATTATAGTCTATCCATTCTCAATTGGAACGGCAATAAAAATAAGAGCACTATGAGGGGTGTTCATAATCACTACCCGGCAAATGGGAAATGTATATACTACCAGTGCGTTTATGTTCAAAGCGTCCCTGGTACAGTCATAAACATTTCTGGACTGTGGCTCCTAGTCGCCCAGATAGTTAGTAAACGTGCTATCAAATGTAGTTAAGGAATAAAGGCTCGGCTAGCTGGACTGGCTGAATACTAATTATTTGGCCGTTTCACAATATTTCTTTATCAGTGCTGCGTGTTCGTGGGGTTAGGTGAGGTAGTGAGTGGTTTTGCAAACCTATTTTTGAAAACTTTTTCTAGAGATCAATTACCCTAACACCAAACTGATATTTTTGCACTCGACGCGCGTTTCGCTAACAAGGTTAGCATCTTCAGGAGAAGCAAATTGATACTGAATCT